TCCATGACCTTTCAAGGATGGTGGAGAGCAGCTCAGCAATATCATCTACTGGCTCCCTTGGCACTTGTGGATGCATCCCATTGGGACCCATGGATTTGTGGGTGTTCGGTTTGCTTAAATGATCTCTGACCCAATCCTCCTCAACCAAGGGAAAGTTTTCCTTTCTCCAGGCTTCCTGTCTTGGCTTCAGGGTCCGGGATTCCTGAGGCCCTACCGTAGCCACAAAGACTGAAGCAAAGAAAGCATTCAGTAACTCCACCTTCTCTGCATCCTCTGTCGCCAGGGCACCCACGTCATTCAACAGTGGGCCCATGTTTTCCGTACTCTTCCTTTTGCTGCTGATTTACTTGAAGAATCCTTTCTTGTTGTCTTTGACATCCCTTGTCAAATCTAATTCCAAGTGGCCCTCAGCCTTCCTTATCACATCCCTGCATACTCTGACAACATTCCTAAATTCCTCCCAAGGGGTTTGTCCCTTTTTCCACATTCCATAAATTTCCTTCTTCCATTTGAACTTTGCCAGAAGCTCCTTGCTCATTCATGCAGGTCTCCTGTCCCCTTTGCTTGATTTCTTGCTCGTAAGGATGCACTGATCTTGAGCTTGGAGGAAGCGGTGCTTGAATATTAACCAGCTCTCTTTGGCCCCCTACCTTCCAGAGCCCTAAGCCATGGGATCCCTCCAAGTAGGTCCTTGAAGAAGTCAAAGTTATCTCTCCTGAAGTCCAAAGCAGTAATCCTACTTACTGCCCTGCTTCCTCCATGCAGGATCCTGAACTCCAGCATCTCATGGTCACTGCAGCCAAGGCTGCCCCCAACCTTCACATCCCCAACCAGTGCTTCTTTGTTTGTCAGTACAGACCCCAAAGGTGTGACTTCTGCTCTCAAAGCAGAGGATAATGAAGACTTTTTTCATATCATTCACATCCCACTGCCTGATTAGGTGCCTTCCTTTCGAAGTGACACCTTGGCTGCTTGGGGAAAGCGATAAGCCCTCAACAGCCTCTCCCAGTGCTTCACTGCAAGGGAGATCTTTATGGTCTTTCCTCAAATTATTTACACCAGTCTACACCAGCTGATATTTTTATGACTTGATTTGTGAACTACACCTTGAAATACAGAGGTGTCCCCTTCCTACCGCAGCCAGGCCAGCCAGTGGTGTAGGGTATGGCCGAAGGAATGTGCACACCATGCAAAACCCAGTCCTCCTGGTTTGCATGCAAAGAGTTGACATCATGAAAGAACAAAAGTCATTCAAACCAAAATTGCCTGTTTGCTTTTTGTGTTTGGGGAAACACAGCATGCGTAGTCCCAACAGAGGCATCTTGTGGCAAGAGCTGAATTTTGCCTTTGCACCTCAAAAGCTGGAAGTCACGCAGGCCCAGGGAGTAATGTTAAAAAAAAGGCAAAACTCACCAGAAGGAATTCACAATAAAGGGAGAGACTTTTTTTCCTTGTGACTAAAACACCTGTCATGGCTGCCAGGACTCTGCTAATTACACAATAACTTTATTATATCCTGCTTGGAAGAACAGACAATACTTGAAGCTCCAAAAATGAGCAGCCTTTAGACTAGATTAATGCAGGCAGAATGACTGCATGGAGCCGGTGTTCGCCCTGTCCTCCCAGAAGCTCTAGAGAGTAAAATGGCTTGAAGATTCCCCTCTTTGTTGCTAGTGCTACATGGTAAAGTAATTGTGCAATTAGAAATAGATTACTGATTGGAGAGAGACATTTTCTGTGTGATGTAGGTAAAAGACTGGCGCCTCTGAATAGGTTTGAAGCCTCAGTGCAGCATCTCTGCTTGGTTTTGCTTGAGGTTCTGGCAGCCCCTGGTAGCATCCAGACAGGAGAAAAGGAGCATAGATGAGTAAGTGTTTTCCATTTACATGAATATATAAGGGAGGTCCTCATGGAAGGTCGCAGTGTGGTCTCCACATTGCCTAGCTCCTCAGGATCCTAAGTTTATGCAGCATGAATGGCTGCAGCATGGATTAGAGGGTTTCACCTCATGATAGAGTTGTTTGTGATGTTGGTTTGCAAGTCGGACCGCAGGACTGGTGAGAATAGATGGAAGTGGGGAATAATGTATTAAGGCCCTCTGTCCCCTGAAGTTTCCAGCTTTGGCAGCTGATAGCAAAGGCTGAAGTTACAAAGTCTAAAAACTAAATAAAGTGTAAGCGAGAAATTGGGGTACAGCTGAATATTGTGAAATACCTCTGTGTGGGAAGCAGGCCTTGGCTCTCAGGTGTGGATGCTCTTTCCTTCATCACTTCTTTTTATCTACGGGAGCAAGCCTGCCATCGGTTATGGCAAGATTAGAGCGGTAATGCTCTTGTGCACAGGCACCTGAGCGTGAGGAGTCATGGCTGGGGCAGGAGGCTGAAGGAGCTGGGACACGGTTGCTGTCTGTCTGTCTGCAGGAGGGAGATCCATGTGGGCACATTTGGGCATGCTGGTGTTTTGGGGACCTTCTCCACAGAGGTAGACAAGGATGTGTAAGTGGGTGCTGGGGGACTTGGAGAAGGCATGTGGACCATGCTGAGGGCTCCTTAATCATGGAACAGCAGCTTCAGGACTTTGCATGAAGGTCAGGGCAAAGGGACCACTGTCCGTCTCAGCAGCGTCCGTCTCAGCCTGGCGGGGATTGATAAAAGGTCCCATGAGCAAGCAGCAGATGGGGCGTTGGGAGTTATGAAGTACTTGAGGTGATGGCTGATGAATTAGAGGAGAAAAGGAGGAGGGAATCTTCTGGGGTTGTTGCAGCTCAGCCTAAAGGTTGTGGCGCTGCCTTCTCCATGTCTTGCTGGGGGTTGTCCTCTCTGCCAGCCTGGGGTGCCTGTGGCCTCCAAGGGGTGCCAGCGTGGCAGAGAGGTCCTCCCATGGGGAACTACCTGTGTGCTCTTGCTCCATTGACAGCAATTAATGAACACCAGAGGAGCTGTGGAGGGATAGGAGACTTTCATTCCTCCCATCTTGGGAGTCTAACTACTTTGCCTCATTTCCTTGCCTGTCTAATGGTGCTGTGAGCTTTTTGGGGTCAGAAGGGTAAGAGCGTGGTGTTGCCATTCATAGTGGTGGTGGGAGGCAACATGAGCTGAGCAGGATCTGCTCCAATACATTGTGGGTCCCTGTAGGTATCAGCCTGACTGAAGGGCTCAGTGTGTATGCCCAGGTGAAACTGGAGGAGGGAAAACAAGAAGGACAAGACAAATCGTGTGAATATGGGTTTAGGGTGAAATAGATCTTCTTTGGGGGTGATGTTTCTCCAGTTTAAGCTTGGTTACGTATTCTGCCAAGCTCATAATGCCGGGGTATACAGGTACCACAGCGACTGATCTGTCTTGTGACAACCCTAGGAGAGGATCTTGTGCAAGACTTGCCTCTGATGTGGTGTCACCTGTAGCTACTTTAACACCTGCAGGATTGTTAGCCTGGTACCCCAAAACCAAGAAAGAAAACTTGAGGTGTCTTCCCTGCCCTATGAGCTGCCTGGAGAAACTAGCCCTGGGGATGGGACAGCTGCCAGGAATGCTAGGACAGGCATCCTGTCCAGGGGCTGGTGGTGATCCACTGCTGACCTGCAGGAATCCATACCTGCGCGGTCAGCAGGTCTCACGGGTCCCCTTTCCCCTGTTGTGCCTGATTGATGTGCGTGGTGTTTACAGGTCCCGTGGCAGTGATCAGCGGAGAGGAGGATTCAGCCAGTCCCCTCCACCACATCAACCACGGCATCACGACGCCTTCGTCCCTGGACGCTGGCCCAGACACGGTGGTGATCGGCATGACTCGCATTCCCGTCATCGAGAATCCCCAGTACTTCCGACAAGGTCACAACTGCCACAAGCCAGACACGTGTGAGTGCCCGATCCGGCCGGAGCCCCCTGAAAGGACCAGGGCATGGGGTGGGGGTGGGGGGGGTGGGAGAAGGAGGGCGAGGAGGAAGAGGTTAAGAGGATGAGGAAGAAGAGAAGGAGGTTTTTGAGGAGAGTGGGTCTTGGTATGGTCCAGAAACCAAAGTGAATCTCAGGTCTCAGAAATCACAACATACATGTAGGTGCTTCCAGAGAAGACTTTCCACTCTCACCTTCACCTCCCTTCACCCTCCCTCCGCCACCCACCAGTCACCTTCCCTCCTTGCCTGAAATTGCCATTCGAAGCCGGGCTCTGCCTTGTCGGCTCTGAGTGTGAGGTCCCAGGCATGAGCAAGAGCTGCCTGGGAGCATGGGGATGGATGTGACCCCTGCCTGGCCAGGAAAAGGACCTGCCTTCCCTTCCTCCTCCAGCAGTTTCCCAGCTGTGGGTCTGTCTCCTTGTCTCCCTCCTGGGCCAGGGAGAAGCTCAGGACATGTGGCCATAGGTGAGGCTGATGCACGGAGATAAAGAACAGGAGGCCTAGATGCTGGATGTCTTGTTTTCATGGGCTTCTGTAAAACTTTTGCATCTCCCTATGTAAATCTGGGTTGTGAACTGGGCTCATTAGACTAGCAGGTGGTCCTCTCCGTTTTGTTGTTCCTAAATTCTAAGCGTAAAAGAAAAGCGCTGGGTAAAAGGATGCTTTTAAAAGGTCCCACACCACTTCCCATGTGAGTGTTGAGATGCAGCCCTCCCTGGCATGTGGCTGGCAGCCAGTAGTTGAGTTCTCCCAGGGCTCTTGCCAGCTCTGAGATGCAAGTTGAGCAATGCAGGAGGTTTGGATAATGTTCCTCTCCTGCTATTGCTCATCCTTTTGGTGAATCTCATTCCAGGTAGAACTGGAAAAATAAAAAGCTTGCAAAAAAAAAGGGGGAAAATCGCCCAACTTGTGCAATCTCTGTGGCCCAGCCAGAAGCAGGGAGTGCTGCATTGAAGCCGCCTCTGCTCTCCCCTTGCCTGCTGCTGGCTCATGAGTGCAGGAGACATAACTCGGCCCCTGGAAACGGGGAGGAGGAGACCGATTTCCTAACCTGCGGAAACTCATTCAGCATTAAGTGCTCGGCAGGAGCTCACTGCTCCCCGGGCACTGCTCCTTCCATCAGGGGAAGGGGAGCAGCAGCCGCTGCTCCCATGGAGGTGTCCCTGGGGCAGACCCCACCATTCACCCTCCCAGATGCTGTGAGCTGGTGCCCGAGCCATTATCACCATCCTTTGCTTGCTGGAGCAATGGGGTATACCTGGTGAATGCACCTGGCTTTCCCTTTGATTTTCATTTTAATGTGGTAGATTTGGTCTGTTTGCAGAGAGGGGAGGAGGAGGGTGGTGATTAGGCAGGAGCAGAGAAGCTGAATGTAGCGTGTTTTTTCTGTGCCGTTAATTATATATTTTACATTTCTTATAGCACCTCATCCTGAAATGATTTACAAACTCTTGGGAAGGGGGGCTCCCCCCGCTTTATTTTATTTTCTTCCCCTCCTGTGTTCTCTTGAATCTCTTTAATCTATGCGCCGACCATTGCAAGACGTGGGTGCTGTTGCAGCTGTGCAGCAGCAGAGCTTTAACCTCAACTGATGTAAGTTTTGCTCTGAGTGTTTGTCCTGTGAGGGTTGTCAGAGTTAGGCAGGTTGCTGGGGAAGTTGCTCGCAGCAGGATTTGGCCTCAAAGTTTCACAGGGCTATTTAATTAGGATCTTGAAGAGTTCACAGAGATGCTTGGAGAGCATCTGGAGCCGTTTCTCTGGTGGAAGGTGCCATGGGGGGGAAATGCAGCACTCGTGACAACTGTGCATACTTGGAAATCCATGGCAAATTGCCACTTCAGAGCTCCAGGTCTCCTGGGGCCATGAGGCAGCGGGGCTGAAACCAAACCCCACACACAGGCACTTCCTTTGGGTGCTAACAAGAGGCAAACCACAGCTGGATGCTGGCAGGCTGAAAGCTCTTACATTTTTTTAGATTTGCTTGTCATTCATGGGGCAGAACCCAAGCTTTGAGACCTCAGGCAGGGTTGGATTTGGTGTGTGTTTTGTATTTTAGTCCCCAAGACTTGGACAAAACTTCTGACTTCACTGGTGGCTTTGCTTGAGGCTGGAAAGTTTCACAATTCAGCTTTTAAATTAACCATGCTTTGGGGACCTCTCGCTGTAAGGGGTTTGTTTGATCTTATGTGCTCTGCTCAACTTAAACCTGAGCTGGAGAATATTTGTTGGTCCCATTTTCCCTGTGGTTTTCACGCTGGAAGGTTTTTCTTTCCCCCTGTGCAAGCTTGGACACAAACATTTCTTCATTTGCTGTCACTTGTAGAGAGGAGAACTCCTCTGGGCTGGGGAGTGCCTCGATACCCTGTACTGATGTAAGCTGTCATCTCTCTCTCGCCACACACGTCCCACAGAGCTGCTGTCCAGCTGTGAGCAAAGGTGCTCCATGGCACCCAGCATCTCTCCTTTGCACTGAGATGTTGCTAGAGCAACATCTTCAGCAAGCAATTTCTCTCTCCATCGTGAAGCTTTTCTCCTTCCTTCTTCCTGCAAGCATCTCTGTGCTCTTGGATGTTGTCTGGGTTGAGGACATGCCAATACCCATTGCGGAGCTGCAATGAGGAGAGCAAACTCTATACGCTTAATGCAGTATTAATAGTACATTGATGTGATATAGATTTCTGTCACCCTCTATACTAGCAAACATCGCTTATCACGCAGGGATGACGGATGTTTATTCCCAGCCACTTAGCTCTGCATAATGGAATTGCAGCTGAAATATGGAGAGCAGCTCCCTGCCCGCGGAGCAGCAGCCCCTCTCGCTCCCGCTGTGCGATGCTGTCCTGTGGGCTGCTCTTCTTAACGTGTCCTCAAGGAGATAGTGATGTGTTCCTCACTGGGGATGTGCTGTCCTCACATCGACGGGATGAAGGGCGCAGAAGCCAGCTTTCACCTCTGACTTTCTGGGATTTTTGCAGTTGTCTCTTTACCTGTTTTCTGCTACTGCCTGATTCAGAGGAGCAGGAGGGATAAGCTTGGCTCAGGGTCCTCTTTTCCTTCCTGGCTGAGGGCTTCTCAAAGAGCCATGGAAGAAACTGCACCACCCTGTTTTCTTGTGACGAAACATTGAGTCTTTCGGAAGACGTTCCTCCCACCTTTACGCTGTAACTCCGTGGCATGCTGGGCAGCACTAGAGTTTCCAACCAATCCTTGTTTCAGCCATCCTCAGCCCTGCCTGGAGGGTTAAGTAAAGAGCTTGGCAATGGGGACAGTCCAACCACAAACTGGTTTCAGAAGAATAAGCTAAACCAGTCTTTTTCTCCCATTCTTTTGCACATCAAAGAGAAACCAAGTGACAAATGTGCTTGGCAGATGTCAGCATGAGGAGTGACAGGTTGTGATGAGTTTGCACCTCTCTATATTTGGAAATAAACAGATGACAGAGAACAGGACTACTTGTGGCAAGCACTGTGGACAGAATATGTGATGAGGAGATGAGGTGTAGGACCACATGACTTCAACCTATGGTGAGGGGTTTTGGTGATGCAAAACATGATCCAGTCTACCCTCATTTGTGTCCAGAAGATGGCTGTTAGTCTTTGTGGGCAGACTTGGCAGTAACAGCAACTTCTTACGTTAGCTCCGTCTCCTAATGTTCAGGATTTGAATTTGCAAAATTCAGATTCTGTAATTATGAATAGCTGGGGATTTCGGTGGTAAAAGATTGGTTATGTTTCAGAAGAAACATTTTGGAAGATTGTTTTACTTTAATAGCAGTAATTAAGTAGTAAGTAATTATAAGCACAACGCATCAGATGCAGATTAGTTCTTGGATCTGACCTCTTAAGCTTTACTCAAATGCCACAGCACCGTTTTTGGAGTTGTTCTGTTCCCTCATATCTCTCATCCAACAAAACAGGTCTTCTTGAGAATGACACAAATCAGAGAAAAAAATCCAAACCTCAGTGGAGAAAATGAATCTGGGGGGCAGATCCTTGGCAGACCCCTGTCTGCCTCCCAGCAGTGGATGCTCGGTTCCCACCAGTGCTGTGAAGCTAGACTTTTGGGGCAAGTGATTTGCTTTTGATGGAGATTTTTGCCAGACATGACCGGAGCTGGCTGTTTTCCTCTTCTAGGACTGGCGCAGTCTGGGTATGGGGATGCATTCTCCACATGGGTGGAGCAGCTGTCCTTCTGTAGAGTCCTAATGAGGGTTTTTTTCAACCTCATTTATTACAGGCTGCCCTGACATAATTACATATTCGAAGTTAGTAATTACACGTATTCATGCTAATTAAGTAATTAGATATAATTACGCTAACTGTAAATACATGGTAATCGGCTAAAAAGAAGTACTTCAGAAAAAAACAAGACAAATCACACAATAAAAGCTCCATCAGCACTCTTTCACTCAGTACCCTGTCTTTATCTTGTATTTCAGTGCAGTTTAAAAAGAACATTGTGGTCATTTCAAAAACGGTATTTTTTTAAACAAGTAGATTTCCTTACCTCTGTTTCTAATAGGTCTTGAAAACAAAAATGGGAAGGATATTCACCCTTACCACTGTAAATTCTTTTTGTTTGCTTAGTGTGTTTTGTTCATCCTGGGCATGGGAAGCTAAAAAGTGTGCAACATTTCTATTTTTGGTCAGTTCATCTTCCCATTTTTGCCAAAAACAACATAAAATTAAAGCCATAAATGCTTGCAGTTTTATTTGGCTAAAAAAGAAAACTGAAATTGTTGGTAGTGGAAAAAAGAAACTTTCCTTTCCCCCCACCCCGAGGGATAAGAGGATTTGTCAAATGTTATTTTTATGCAATATAAATGTGGAGCCCCGTGTGAAGTGACAGCAGCACTCTGCTGCCCAGTGCCCAGCCTGGGGCCAGGCTGTACAGGTCTCAGTCCCTCCCACAGGTCTCTGCTTTTTCTCCAGTTTCTCCAAACTTCTCTTTTCCTCTCCTCTA